GTGGCCAGCTCAGCCCACCAGGGGGCGGGGCGGGCTGGCATGTGGTGCTGGGGGATTGAACCGCGGTCCCTGATGCTTTGCTAAGCTTGTTCTAAGTAGGTGCTTTAGACCACTGAGCCATCTCTCCAGCCCCAATTGCCTTGTTTTGTAGCAGAAAATGCCTCCCTAAAGCCAGTACACTCCTGCTTCTTAGTTGCCCAGGTAATACTCCTGTTCCACTTCCAGTTGGTCCTGTCCCCTAGAAACAGCCGGTCACTGGAACACACAGCTGGTCGTTATGGTGCGCTCTATATGACGCAGTCCTCAGTGGACAAGCCGTTTTGCCTCTACTTCCTGCTTGCTTGTCCCATCCAAGGCCTCTGCCACCAGAGAGCAGGCCTGATCACTCAGTGCCTGCCGATGTACATGAATCTGCCTCCAAATCCTGGGTGTCATTGCTTGCCGTGACAGTTTTTTGCCGGGATAGAATTCCTTTTCCCTGCTTGAACATCATTTCCCCTTGTGAAAGGGCTCACGCCTCCTTTCCTCTTTTGCCTTGAAGAACATCTCCTCAAAAGCACAAAACTTTTAACACTCTCCAGTCTTGAGACATAGAGACAAAAGCATTACCCTTCCAAAAGCTTTGTAAGTCCCATCGATAAATTAGTACAGCCTCTGGGCCGGGGAGATGGCTCAGTGGAATAAGCGCTTCCCTGGCAAGCCCAAGGGCCTGAGTTCAATCCCCGGTTCCGCAAAAATAAATAGATAAATAAATAAATTAGTACAGCCTCATCCTTCCTTTAAATGTATAAGCATCAAAGAAAAATTTAATTTGCCCTGATGTGGAAGGAGAATAATACAGAATAGAATAAATAAAAGAAAAGAGAGGTTAGGATAGATATATAGTTGCATTCTCTTAATGAATAGAATGATTTGTTCTAATGGTGTTTGTAAATAGCTTCACAAGTCCACTTCGTGTACAGCAATTAACCACTAAGAAGAATATATGCAGTGTATTATTTGTTGAAACTGTACTTCCGATTGGATTTGAAACTGTCTCATTGCTGTTTATCAATAAAACTTTGAAAAAACAAAAAAAACAAAAAGAAAAAAAAGAAAAGAGAGGCAAAGGAAGAGGAATCACTGGAAAGCTGGAGATGAGGACAGGAATTTGGAGAGAGGCAAGAGTTAGGGTGCAATGGGCTGGGGAGATAGCTCAGTGGTCTAAGTGCCTGCCTGGCAAGCACAAGGACATGAGTTCAATCCCCGGTACCGCATGCCATGCTGTCCCTGGAAACCTGGGCACACCGAGCTGTGTAGCAAGACCCTGTATCAACAAAAAAATAAAATAAAATTTAAGAGTTAGGCTACAGGAAAGGAACATAGGAAAGCGGAGCCTTGGGCCTTGAAGCAGGCAGGCCTGGGGCTGGCGGCCAGGCCACTGCTGTACGCATTCTGCACGCACTCTCACGCACGCTTTTCAGCTGAGGTGGTGAGAGCCTTACGGTTCCTTTTAAAATTTTACTCTGCAAGATGTTGGGAATTTATTTTCTGCTGTCACAATGTCTCTCTTTTTTAAGAATTGCAGGAATCACCCTCAGGACCTCGCGCTTCCCAGACGGGCGCTCGTGCTGCTGAGCTATAGCCCCAGCCCTCTCGCTCTTCTTGAAAGGTTATAATGATCTTTTTTATCCTTTGTCTAGTTTGAAGAAGAATTTCTTGAAACAAGAGAACAATATGAGAAGCTGCAGAAAGGTGAGATTAGATTTATTCAATATTATTAGATAAAACACAAATCTGTTTCTGGAAATAGCATTTTAATAGAGAACGTAGAGCTGTACAGTGACAGCTGTTAGAAGAGGCAAGCGCTCTTCTTGGCCACCAGACTGTTCTGTTCCCTGCCACCCAGCTCAATGTGTCAGTTCCCCAGTCTTCAAGAATACTTACCAAGCAGGCTTTGGCGCGGCCTCGACTGATATAGTGCTGCAGGGTGGCCTGTGCTGCCTGTCCCAGGGCCCCCTCATTAAGAATTTAAAAATGCTAAACAAGTGTGTGGGAAGCAGGGAGGGGGTGGAGGATGCTCCTGACTTGCCCTGGCTCACACCCACTTTTTTCCAGCCATTCTCACAGATTAAAGAAACCCTCATAGTAGGTCAGGATAGACAGTTCATAGTGGAGAACTGACACTATGGAAAATGCAGTTTCCATCACATTGTGACCAAACAAGACCTTCATCATTACCATTCCCCAGAAAATGTGTCATGCTGAGAGAAAGGGCGAGTGCTTTAGCAATATTTCTGAATCTTTGTGCAGTCACATTGCTGGCCTTAACAAAAGGAACACAGATGTCCCTGCTGTCACTGCCAGACAATCATGGAGCCAGCGCAGATCACTCCTAAGAAGGCCAGTCCACATCAGCAGAGTCACTGATAAGCCACGTGACCCTGGGCAGGCCTTTAACCATCTGCCTCCCTGTCTCCCTAGCATAACACAACACAATCTCTTGGGTGTAGATTGCGTGCACCAGTACATCTTGGTGAATGAAAGGGGGCCTGGGCGTCCTCTCTCCCAGTCTTGTTCAAGAACTTTATTGTCGGCCCTGCCCCTGAAAGTCTTCTTCCTCTTCATTTCTGTCCACTCCACCCCATGGATGGTGCCTGGTGCACAGTATGGGTTACAAACACATTGAACGAATGACTGTTGCTCCGTGAGCCCTTCCGCGCACAGGGGAGGAGGAGATGTCCCTCTGTCTCTGCAAGGCTCCTGTGTCCTGTCCCGCTGCCGCGGTGGATGAGGCTGTCACTTCCCTGGGAACTACTTCCTCCCTCCCATTGCATTTGATCAGGATGCCAAGTGAGGCATCAGGGAGAGCAGCGGGCAGGAGGCCCTTGCTGTCTCTGGGCTGTGAGTCCGGGCAAATGCCATCCTTCCCCTTGGACTCTACAGCTCTGTTTTCTGTGTGATGGAGGGATTGATCTAGACAGTGGCTCAGATCTGTCCTTACTCTCTTCATAGGAGATTTTAGTTTAAAGCCCTTCGGAAAGATGTTGTTGGGTCCTAGAAGCAGGAGCTGTTCTAGTGGATGTCTGAATTGCTCACAGGCAGTAGCGGGGTGCTCAGCTCCTGGATGCTCTTTGAAGGTTGAAAAGTGTGGGTGTCCCATGAGTGGGCGGAGATTCTGCAGCCTCCTCACCAGATAATACAGCATTTGCCCAGTACAGACGCACCTACCTTATTCCTACTGGGCAAATGGGCAGAACCAGCAAACAGGCTCGAAGAAGTAAGTGATGGCCCGCCCACCAAGCAGAGAGGGGCCCCAGGGCCCAGGAAGCTGCCGCTGGCTCCTGGGGAAGCGCTCACCACTCTGTCTTCTGCCGCTGTCTTTAATCAAGTGAGAGAAGCTTGAGACTTTGGAGGAGCTGACTGTGGCCTTTGGCAATGCCATGGAAAACTCTGGCTCCTTATAGTAATGTACAGATTTCAATGAAAATTCAAAATCTATGCATTTCTTTAAAAACTCATGAAAAGAATACCATTTGTAGAAACTGGGTATGGTGGTACACACCTGTAATCCCAGCACTTGGAAGGCTAAAAAATAAGAAGATCACTATAAGTCCGATCAGTGTAGTGAGACCCTGTAGACTCTGTACTAAATACAAAGAAAAGAAAAGAAAAGAAAAGAAAAGAGTATCATTTGTAGGTATTAAATGCATTACCTGGCCTAGTGAGATAGCTCAGCAGATTAAGCACCTGCTTTGGCAAGCACAGGAACCAGGGTTCAATGCCTGGTCTTGCATGCTGTGCTGGCCCCACCCCTGGGGCACACTGAGTCCGGGCATGGTGGTGCAGGCCTGTAATCCCAGCACTGGGGAGGCTGTAAACAGGAGGAACACTACTAGTTGGACCTGCATAATAAGACCCTGTACTAATTAGCAATATTTAACAATATATATTAAAAAAGCATTAGCTGCACTATATCCTTCAGTCCACAGTGAACCATGTTGCTGTGGTAAGTAGCCAGAGATACACATGGAGGCTAGAACGGGAACAAATAGGTTCATTCAGTGTGCAGACCGTACCCCAGCTCTTGCCAGTGAGGACCATCGGCCCTGAGGACGGGAACACAGCAGCTTATGTAGCAGTTGGTCCTGTTGCTAAAGATAGCAGGTCTTTCCAGAAGAGCAGAGTCCAGAGGCTAACTGCACAGTGGTAGTCACAGTCCTGAGTCTTTACAGCATTGATTAGAGATAGAGCTGCTTACACAGGGCAAGCGGTTAGCCTATGATTTGGGGAAGAGTGAGTTCATCTAAGGTAGAAGGCAGTTTGAGGGATTTTAAAATGGAGTTTGGACCCAAAATGTAGTCTGTTTGCCACCGCGATCTATCTGCCAGTGGCACCGGGAGGTTATGCTGCCTACTGGTGACGCCACCTTGGTTTCTCTAGCGAATTTTGAGCACTGGAACTGCCTAACCACAGCTCTTAGGGAGTGTTGGCGCTGACAGTGCGTGCCTACAGGCACTTCCTGGAGAGGAGAGAACTTGGTTTTGGTTTCATTGAACATTGATTATTTGTATTTCTATTATTTCATATTTTCAAAATTCTGCTAGGTATACATTACTTATATCTTATTTCTTTACATATCTACTTATTTTGCAGGACTGAGAGCTGAACCTGAGGCCTCACAGTGAGGCAAGTACAGGGTCTCACTACTCAGTTCAGACTCAGTGATCCTCCTGTTGCAGCCTCCCCAGCTCTGGGATTACAGGCATGTGCCGCCACACAGTTTCGGGGCCAACACTGCACCTGGAGTTCCAGGGCCGGCAGGGCATGTGGTGCCGGGGATTGAACTCCAGACACTGTGCTTGCCAGGCAGGTGCTTAGATGGTGGAGCTGTCGATCCAGCCCAGAGAGTACTATTTAGAAACAGAAAACTGGGGCTCACGTAACATGTGTTCAAAATCACGTGGGCAGAGGGGACTACAGTTGATGCCACACCCAGGTCTGCCCGCGTCATTACTGCCACGGCCTCCTTTGTGATGAGTGGCTCCTGATGTGTTCTTAGGCAATGCAGACTCCGGGACTCCACCCCGTGACAGAACATCTGGGGCTGTGTGGGTATTTTTAACAAATCCTCACCTGATAGGACTGGGTTTTTTATTTTATTTTGTTTTTTCCTCAAGACAGAGCTTGCCATGTAGTTTAGACCAGGCTTAACCTCACTATGTAGCCCAGGCTGGCCTCGAACTCCTGGTGATCTTGCCTCAGCCTGGCAAGCGCAGGGACTCCTGGTGTGTACCACTGGGCCCGGCCCAGCTGGTCCTTGTGCTGCCTAAATTTTCAGAACCAGAAGCCTGTACACCATACATAGCTGTAGTAAATGTGGAACATTTTTTAAAGTTCATAGTTGACCAGTGAACAAAAACACACAAATGGGTCGCACAAGTCTTGTTTTACATGGCAGGCACTCTCTCAATTGTAGGGCCCTGTAGTTCATTACTTTGGCTGAAAATTGAAAGTCACACAGTGACATTAGCAGTAGCCTTTCCTGCAGACCTGTCATTAACCACCAGTGAGGAGCATGTCCCCCTCTCTCTGCCCCGACCACAGATGGACTCCTGCTCTTCGGCCAAGTGCCTCTTGTTGAAATTGATGGGATGGTGCTGACGCAGACCAGAGCCATCCTCAGCTACCTTGCTGCCAAGTACAACCTGTACGGGAAGGACCTGAAGGAGAGAGCCAGGTACTGTGACGCCTGCACCGGGCGCTTGGCTGGAGCAGCAGCGTCAGACAGGTCCTGCGCAGTCTCGGAAAGAAGGGCTGGCGCAGCGGCTGTCTGGCTCTCGATGCTTCGATGCTCAATGTTCATCCATTAGTCTTTCGTTTTTTCAGAATCCCCAAGCTGTTCTCTGAGATACCTGCCTTAGTCTGTGGGCAGCACTGTTACTATTCCTTTCTCTGTGTTGGACGCAGCACATGGCTTAAATGATACCCTAACAGGGCCGGGGAGATGGCTCAGTAGAATAAGCATTTGTCTGGCAAATGCAAGGACATGAGTTCAATCCCCGGTTCTGGAAAAAAAAAAAAAATGATACCCTAACAAGGAAGAAAATGATTTATGTGAGTATGGACTGAAACCTCCACTGACTGTGAGCTAAATAAACCTTTCCTTCCTTCAGAAAAAAAAAGATTTATAATTCAGGTAAGACAAGAGTACATTATTCTTTTGTATGTCTTTCCTGTCAAAAGGAAAGCCCCCCATCATGGGGGCTACAAGGGCAAACGGCAGAGATGGCTGAGGCAGCACGCATGCGCCCGCGCGGCGCTCGTGTTCCTTACCGAGTGACCCAGCTGTTTCACAACTGTTTGGACTTCAGACTGAGGCGCAGCGCTCAGCCTTACGCTCCGCTACTTGGACTCGCAGCCCATCTTTGTGCAGTCCGTGCGTTTTCCTGCAGCACGCCTGGTTTATACGGGGCTGCGGGTTTGCTGATGGCCGCGGAATACAATGCTGTGGTGCTGTGTTCTGTCATACACTGCAGTGCTGCGTGTGGGAGTTTCGCAGATGAAGGCAAAGCCATCGAGCGGGCGGTCCCTTGGACCTTGCTTTGTTCTGAATAATGTGTTTCTTACATACATTCCCTCACTCAGGGACCAGCGCAACGGCCTGGCAGCAGGACTGGCGCTGGATCCAACCCGAGGAATTCTGTAGTAATATACATGTCATTAATGTTTTGAAAACAGTTTTTAAAAAAGTATTTGTCAATGAAAAGAAAACTTCAAAGAGAATGAAACAGAGCTGTTTGTGACCCGACCAGAACACCAAGCTTTTCGTTCTCAGTTGCCATGTCAACAAAAACCTGTTCAGTTACCGATCCCTGTAAGCCAGTGAGAAGCTGTGGACTCACCTTCACTTCTAATAGGCTTCATTGATTTCAGTTCTTGAAACCACTTTTTTTTTTTTTTTCATTTATGTATCTGGTACAGGGTCTCACTACACAGCTCCAACTCGTAGTGATCCTCCTGTTTTCAGCCTCCCCAGCAATGGGATTATAGGCGTTCGCCACCACGCCCAGTCTCAGTGGCTGGCTCAGTGCACCCCAGGGCTGGGGCCGGTGTGGCATGCAGGACTGGGGATTGAACCTGGGCCCTGCGCTTGCCCAAGCAGGCGCTTAGTCTGCTCAGCTATCTCATCGGCCCTAAAGTCATAATATTTTGACCACTTGTTTCTGGCAAATGCCAACACAGAGGACTCTAATCTTTTCATAAACGCTTAGCCCATAAACATTTCTAGAGGCCCACATAGTACTGGCCCCTGGCTGGTTTGCATCCCAGCAAACATGGTGCGAGTGGAAGCTTGGGGTGGGAAGCGCCTTTCCTCCTGCAGCTACTCCCAGCAGTCTGGTCAGGAGGCGTGTGGGATGCTCTTCTGGTGTCTTGTCAGGATCGATATGTACACCGATGGCACCCTGGACCTGATGCTAATGATCGCATCGGCTCCCTTCAAGGCCCCTGGGGACAGAGACGAGGCCTACGCCACAGTCACGCGGAGAGCTAAGACCTGCTACTTCCCTGCCTTTGAAAAGGTAGGCTGCGGGGGCTTGTGAGGCCATCATGGCTGTGTTACTAAGGACTGGATATCTGAGACGAGAGAGGCTATGAGCCAGCTTTGCTGCTTTGAGACCAACAGCTTTAACAAGGACTCCGGAACGCCCCAGCGGGTGAAATGACAGATTCCCTAAGTAACAGAACAGGAGCAACCCACGGGCCATTTCTGTTGATTGCAAAGAGAAGTCATCTGTCCAGTGTGTTACCACCTTGAAATCACTTTTTTAACTTATTTTTTAAAAACTTTTAAGTCTGACAGCAGAGGCTAATTGTGCCTCAACCAACAGGCAGAATCTTCTCCACATACGCCTTTTTCTGAGGCCTCTTTGGAGTGAACACCAACATCTGACCTTGCGGTACATTTTTTTTTTTTTTTTTTTTTTTTTTTTTTTTTTTTGCGGAACTGGGGATTGAACTTAGGCCTTTGCGCTTGCCAGAGAAGCGCTTATTTCCACTGAGCTGTCTCCCCGGCCCCCTTGCGGTACATTAATAAGGTGTTTTCTTCTTTTCGTTTGTGCTGGACCTTGTGCACACTAGGCGAGTGTGCCTCCCAGCGGCACCTCTGGCCCCCGGGGCTCGTCCTTCCTGAGATGGACGTGCCCGATCTTTGGCCGTGATGCCTCTCCAAGCTGGGCCTCCTGACCTGACCCCAGCAGGCTCTCTGGTCCCGAGGGCTGCTCAGGCCTCATCTTGTATGCTTCCTCCTCCAGACTTGAAGTTGCTTTTCCAGGGGTTCTGGTTGTGTTTGTGACTCCCACACTTCTCTGTGTGTGGCAGCACTCACAGGGAATGCAGGCATTTGTACTGTGCCCACGTATCATGTCTCTTCTCTCTCTTCCTCCAGGGTACCAGCTCTTAAATTTGATGCAAATTTTTCTTTCCCCTTAAAAAAAAATAGAGACCTGGGTCATTTAAAATGTTTTCAAACTTCTGGGTGTGGTGCAGATGTCTGCTATCCCATCCCTTTGGGAGGCTGATGGAGGAGGATCTCAAGTTCAAGTCTTTTTTTTTTTAAATTATTTATTTATTTATTTATTTTTGTGTGTGGCTAGCTCAGCCCACCAGGGGGCGGGGCTGGCTGGCATGTGGTGCTGGGGGATTGAACAGCGGTCCCTGTGCTTTGCTTGGCTTAGCTTGTTCTAAGTAGGTGCTTTAGACCACTGAGCCATCTCACCAGCCCATCAAGTTCGAGTCTTGCCTGGACAACTTAGTGAGATCCTGTCTCAAAATGTAAAATGAAAGAGAGGCTGGGGATGCAGCCTGGCATAACACCCCTGGGCTCAATTCCCAGTTACAGCCCCGTGAACAACAAGTCACCATATTGTAAGCTTGTTCTGTAACTTGCTTTTTAAAAAAACAACTGTTTTTGAGCCATTTTTATAAAAAGTCCTCATTACTAAATTTACATTTGCTTCTTTCATTTTATTTTTCTGCTTGCAAATTCAAGGGCCAGCCAAGTAGTCAGTAGACAGGGCTGGGTGTTCAATCCCCAGGCCTGCCTCCCAGGCCTGCCATGCTGGACCTGCCCCTGGGTTGCACTGAATCGGCAATTGAGACTGGGCGTGGTGGCCTGTGCCTGTAATCCCAGCTCTTGGGAGGCTGTAAACAGGCGGGTCACTATGAGTCTGATCTAGTAGTGAGACCCTGAATACCCTGTAGGCCCTTCCCTAAAATACAAAAAACAAAAAGCAAATTCAAAGCCAGTTTTTCTTTAGCTTTTCCCATCTTTCCACAGTTCTCACTGTAGGGACCAAGTTTCTTTTCTTCTCATGGTTTAGAAGATCGTGTTTCTTTCTCAGACTCACAGTGGCTTTCAGCAAGACAAAGCTTCAGCCTCCTGCCAGCCGCTCTTCCTATTTCTAGGCCTTTATATTTGAATATATTTTTTTTTCAGAACCAGGGGTTGAACTCAGGCCCTTGTGTTTGCCAGGGAAGCGCTTATTCCACCGAGCCGTCTCCCCGGCCCTGTATTTGAATATTTTAGATCCAACTTTGTAAACGGCTCTTACTGCCTGTTAGCGGTGGATGTGCTGCAGAGGCGAGCGCTTGTATTGCCTATTATCGGTCCATAATGAACTGCTGACTCCTGATGACACCCAAGACGTAGTCAAGAAAATTTATCCGCACAAGAAGCTGATTGCTCCCTGCAGGGCTTCTCCAGTCTCACGCCCTTCTCCGTCTGAGTATATTTTCCTCTACATAAGGGGTGTTTTTCTTTTTTCTTTTTTTTGGCGGAACTGGGGATTGAACTCAGGCCCTTGCGCTTGCCAGGCAAGCACTTATTCTACTGAGCCATCTCCCCGGCCCGTTTTTCTTTTCTGAGTTCTCTCATGGAGGATCTATTTATTAACTCTTTAGGACTTTGTCAAAAATGACATTTTCTTTAGTCGAAAATGATTATTTAAATGGTTATAAAACTGTAGGTTAATAATTATTTTCCTTCAACATTTCAAAAATATGACTCTCTTCTGGCTTTGATTATTCTATTCCAAAGTCTGGCATTAATATTATTTTTTAAAATGGTATTGTATCTTTTCCCCCTCCTTTTCTTTATTTTTTATGTATTTAGTACAGGGTCTACAGGGTCTTACTGCACAGATCCGAGTCATAGTGATCCTCCTGTTTTCAGCCTCCCAAGCGCTGGGATTACAGTCGTGCCACCATGCCCAATCTCAGCATGCCCTGGGGGTGGGCCGGCGTGGTACACCAGGGATGGAACCCAGTCCCTGCACCTACTTACGCAGGCGCTTTAGTCACTGAGCTATCTGGCCCGCCTTTCCCCTCCTTTTAGTTTCCCTTTTTTGATACATTTTTACAGCTATGAGTTTAAATTTGTTATTTATCTGCTATTGTTCCTTTTCAGTCTGAGGATCCTCTTCCCTCCATCTCTTCATTCTGGAAAATTCTGCACTGACTAGTATTGAAATGCTGGGGATGGTGGTGCACACCTATAATCCCAGCACTCAGGAGGCTGAGGCAGGAGGATTGTTGAGAGTTCGAGACCAACCTGGGTTACAAAGTGAGCTCAAACCCAGCTTGAACTGCACAG